TTAGATATTGTGAAATATTTATTTCTAATTACAAATAAATGAAATTTTGTCTTGAAGCATGGGTAACAGTCTTAATGTAACAACAGTAAACTACAGCATGGTGATTAATCACAAAACAATATGTAATTATATATTGTGAAATATTTATTTCTAATTACAAATAAATGAAATTTTGCCTTGAAGCATGGGGTAGCATGGGTTACAGGCTTCACGCCCGGTACTCACTCGTGGACGTATCTGCATGTGGGCGGACCGCCTGGAGACGGATAGAGGAGCAGTGTCTGTATTCCTAAGACCATGGGAAATACTGTGTGTGTTTTTCCGATGGTCTTAGGCGACCCCTGTGAAAGGGTCATTCGACGGACACACACACGCCCCCCCAAAGGGGTTGAGACCCACAGGTTGAAAACCGCTACTCTAAGGTATTTAGTAAAGTGCGGTGTATTTATGGGGAAATGAAGTTAAATGATACTGGAATTTTCCACAAACTTTTTAGTGTTACTATGTAGCCACTCTAGTATGAGCACCACCGTTTTATCTCCCTCTTGCCTGCATTACTGGGCATCACAATTTTTTAGGGTGCACATTGAGGATGTCTTGCCCCGAGCTGCCCACCAATTAGCATTTAGTAAGTGCTTATTGCCCAGTCTTGAAAACCCTGTGTAAGATCCTAATTTGGAATGGATGTGCTAGTGGTGAGGTTTTTTTTTCCTTTACTAAAAGGGTTGGGTCCTTCTGTAGAAAAACCCTAGGTGCATTGACCAAAGTGCCAGTGCTACTTGGAAAGAATTTGAACCCACAGCCACTTCATGGGAGAAAGATGTTATAGTCTGCTTCCATGAAGAATACCGCTTTGGACAGGAAACTGTGGAGCAGTTCTCCTCCATCCTATAAGATCCATATGAGTTTGGTTTTGGTTTGAGACAACTTGTATTCATGCAGGTCTTCAGAAATTGCTTTGTCCAAACTTGAAAACATAAATACAATTTTAGTATGCAATATTCAAATGATTGTTCAACTACTTACATATCTGGTACCTAACACTGTTTTTCTCTTTAATAGGAATGCAAGGGGAAAAGGCCATCGACATTGCAAATAGACTAAAGGGAAGTGAAATTTTTCTTAAAATCTAAAGATGAAGATTTTTCAGACCATTTACAGGCAGCTCAGAAATTCAAGAGGGTTCTCTGTGGAACCAGCCACTTGTGTGGGTTTCTCTACTTCTCATTCATGTGGAGGGAAGAAAAAGGTGAACTCCTATGAAGGAGACCAAGAAAAATACTCTGATTTAGTACGTTCTGTGTTGTCATTCAGAAGCCATGCTCGAACCCCAGAATCACTGTTTGAGGAAGATGCTTTACTCTCTGGACCTGTGAGTAAGCACAAGGCCCCAAAGCAAGATGAGAAAACAAAGGTTCCACAAAACTGGTTTCCTCTCTTAAATCCAGGGAAAAGATCACATGTAACAAGTGACCTTTCCATTCCACTGAAAATCCCTTTGCAAAGGAATAAGATCCCAAGTGTGACCCGGGTCCTACAGCAGACCATGACATCAGAACAGATCTTCTATTTGGAGAGGTGGAAACAGCGGATGGTTCAAGAACTGGGAGAAGATGGCTTTGCCGACTATCAGTCAAGTAATGCTCTCAACCCTGGTCCTCGGTGGTGACAAGTTTTCTTGGATGTAGAGTAACATTGTTGTAAAACTTAAATTTTGAGTTGGTTTTTTTTTTTAATCTCTATTAGTGAAGAACTAGAAGCCCTGGTGGTATAGTGAGTACCTCAAGGTCACCAGTTTGAAACCATCCAATGCTCAGTGGGAGAAAGATGTGGGTTTCTACTCTCAGTAAAGAGTTACAGGCCCGGAAACTAATGGGGGCAGTTCTGTATCCTATCCTGCAGGGTCACTATGAGTCGGAATCAATTTGATGGCAGTGAGTTTTTTTGATTTTAAGTGAAAAACTATTTACACATAATAATTAGCATTAAATAGCACTTACTGTATATTAACTCCATTCTTCTAACAAACCTATGAAGCAGAGATAATATTCCCATTTTACAGATGAAGCTGAAACACAAAGGGACTATTAGTTTGACTAAATGATGCATAAAATTCACTTATAAGCTACAAACAAAAATTAGAATTACCTATTTCCCTTGATGGGGTGGTGAGGTGGGTGGGAAGATACCTGTTAACATAATTCTAATTCTTTGCTAGACATTCTCTTCAGAATCTAGTCTATATCCTCTCTACTGTTCCTTAAAATAGCTTCCTTAAAACCGATTTTGTTGAAAAATGAAAGTTCATAGTCAATTGTTCCTCAAAAAATTAAACTGCTCTCTTTTAAAACTTAAGTTTGCCATTGACTAATCCACAGTGCCTTGCTTTCCAGAAAGTATACTGGACAAGTGTTCTTGTGGCAAACAAACACTTTTAAAAGAGTACTGTACACAGCAGCTTCAAAAAGGTGATGTAATTGTGTTATAATTGCCTTTTTCCATGAACTTTTTGAAGTTCCCTCATACTTTCAGGTGTCTTGGGGGGGAGAGCACTGTCTATGTGTGTTTAACATACTAAACCCAAGAACATATGTATTATAGAGGAAAAAAGTATTTATGTAAGTCATGTGTTTTTGTTTTATAGAAAAAGTGTATATGTGTCACATGCATTTGATCAAAAATTGCAACGCTTTAGGACATTGTAACATTTCACAGATATCAGGTGCAGGGGTTACATTTGGCAGTTGACTGCCTTTTTAAATATAATTACTATATCAAACTATTCTGTTGTCATATTGTTGCAAATAAAATTCTATCCACAAAACAACCAAAACATAAAATATATTTTCTGTCTAAAACAACAAATATAATATCTTGTAATGGCATTTTAAAAAGTTTTTTATTTAGACTATCAGAATTTATAATTAACACTGATTCTCCAGGAGAAATTGTTTATATTTTCTTAAACCAGGAATGTCAGTTTGTGGGACTCTTAAAATCAGTATGAAAATGTAAAGGCAGAGAGTTCTCTGGGACAGTTTTGGTCTGCAGGTGTTGGCTAAGTAACGAAGTAGCTCTGTGGCCTTGATAAAGAAGAGGAAGTTCTATTTGGGATGATGAATGAACCCCACCAGCCTATGCAAGCGAAAACTAGATTTTGTTGACCTAGATTATAATAGGCACTCTGCTGTATTCTCTGTTAATTCAGGATCAACCTTAAAAAGCAGAATCACACTTTCTTTGTTCTAGTATTTTTAACATACACTTAAATACTGTGGCTAGAAAAAAACAACATCATAGCCCACTAAATCATGGATCAGGAGAGGAAGTTTGAAAAATACTGGATTGGTAATATCCCTTTTGTACCTTGTTTTGCCAAAGCCAAAGCATAGAGAGGTGCCTAGAGCTGTCATTCTCCCTAATGCTGGAGCAGTTTCCCAGGCAACAGTTTACCTTGTGAAGACAGGCAAAGATGAGAAATCCTAATTTAACTTTTTTTAAAAAACTTTTAATTACATTGTTGATCATAGTGAAAAGAGCTTGCACTTGTTTTTTCAATAATTTTGCTGCTTTGATATTTTAATCTAAAAGCCATCCTGACAGTTCTATCCTCATAAAAATCTTAAAATGTACTGATGTATTGAAGTTTGAGCATATTTGACGCTACTCCTTTTAATTTACTGAGTTTAAACATATTTGACTTTCCTCCTTTTAATTTACTGAGTAAATAATCTGACTTGATGTTACCTGGGATAAATCTATGGGATCATCTTTTTAAAGTTGAATCATATTTAATACTCTAAGCATTAGAATGTAAGGAATCATGTACTCATTTCCTATGTTTATGGTCATGTATGTATGAAAAAGCTAGCCAGGGGTTAAGTCTGCATCAGAAATAATTGTCTACCTGCATGGTAGTAGATTGAGCAATTTTTTCTTTATGTCTTTAATAGGCTTGTCGTTGACTATTAAGCTAGTCTAGATGACTACTTATTGTTCCTCCATGGGTTTAACTACATCAATCTTAAAGTTTCCTTTAGGTCTTCGATGAACTAATAATTGAACCAGTAAATTTGGAATAGAACAACTTCGTACTTCCCAAGTTTAACTTTATTAACTTCAAGTAAATTAGTAGAAGCAATTTCATTTTTACCCATGTTAGTAGACTGGACCTTAAAAACACTTTGTAAATCTACTTGAAAAATATACTATGGTCTGATAATACTTTATTTAATGAGATTGGTTTTCCTGGTTTCTGCAGATCAGTCTCCAAGCATGTATGCTTCCTGCTCTGTTCTTCTATACATCTAACGGTGTTTTTGGTGACTGAGTTTAATTCGGTGCTTGTTTTACTGTGTGATGGCGTGGAAAGAACACTGGCTGCCATTCCAGTCTTTTGCTTTTGGGAAAAGCAACAGCCCTGCCGAGGCCTGGAGAGCCTTGAGAATTAACATACGTGTTATACTTCGTACCTTGCCTGGTTTTGTTTGGAAATTAAAGTGTTTTGAAAGTACCAAAGCTACAGTTGAGCACAATGTGACCCTTCCTTTCTTTCCTTCCCTTACTAGGAATCAAGTGAATATATATAAAATTTTTTCCATTTGTTGAAATACGGTTGTTGCTTTTTCTTTTTTTGGTGTATGCATCTGCTAGCTTTGTTGAATTTGTAACCCAAAATTCAACTGCCATTGAATCAATTCCAACTAATAGCCACGCTATAGGACATAGTAGATATACCCCTTCTGTTTCCTTTTCTGTAAAGGGGAGAATTAAGACAGAGCAACTGTCTCAGATGACTAAACAGGTAGAGGTAAAGAATGTCACAAATAGCCTCCCTCAGCCCCAACTGCCCCCAAAATCCCTCATTATATTCAGTTTCTACTTAGTATGTGCCTTAAATTTCATTCTTTGCCAGTTCAATCCTGTGAGCTAAAGGATTCTTTCACTTACACTCGTTTTAGTATACTTTGTTACATTTCTAAATTGAACTTGACAATTCATTAATGACTTAAACGAGGTACTTAAATACTTAGTACCAAGACATAATCCTAGAGCTCACAAGCCATTTCAGTTTTACTAGCTTTTTGCGTAATTCCAAGAATGTTTCATTTTAATCCATTTTATTCTATAAATTATCCTAATCCCTTTGATTTTTAAAATGTGTACTTCTGGTTGAGCCTGAAATTTGATTTCTTAGGAGTTATCACTTAAAGGTAATTATTTTCTTTTCCATAATTTTCTTAGACATATTTTTACAAGGAAAACAATTCCATGAAGCCTTGGAGAGCATACTTTCATCCCAGGGGACTTCAAAAGAGAAAGGTGGAAATCTGGCATCTGGCTACATTGAAAGTATCCAGCATGTTCTGAAAGATGTCAGTGGAGTGCGAGTTCTTGAAAGCGCTGTTCAACATGAAGCCCTACAGTACATGGGTCTGCTAGACTGCGTGGCTGAGTATCAGTAAGTGTTAGCTGTTTCCTTCACAGAGTGGGGGTGAGTTAATGCAGGGTGGGACATTACTCTTTCCTCCTGCTTCAAGATGCGCTTGCAGGCTTCCAGTAAAAATCTGTGTTATAGGTCATAGAATTAGACTTGGGGTAGAGGTTGAGGAGGGATAATAGGAGGAAAACAAACTCACTACCATCGAGTTGACGCCAACTCACAGTGATCCTCTAGAACAGGGTAGAGCTGCCCCTGCGGGTTTCTGAGACAAACTCTACAGGAGTAGAAAGCCCCCTCTTTCTTCCGTAGAGCAAACTGCTGACCTTACGGTTAGCCACCCAACGTATAACCACTTCATTTCCAGGGCTCCTCTGATAATAGGAGAAGAGACTCATAATCTTTGTAAATTGGTGTCCAAAAAGCAAACTGTGACCTCTTATTAAAGGTTTTCTGTCAATTAAAATAAATCTCATTGTATGGTAAAGAAAAGGTGTTGCTTTTCAGTATTCCTATGATGTCCCGTTTTCTATCTTTTTGTCCCCAACTACCCCCAGGCAAGGTACCAGACATAAGATCCAATCCTTGTGTTTTCTTCCCTAAAGATAGCACCATGATCTGTAGACCCTGAAAATCAAACTCTTTTCTTGCCATCCAGTCAGTAGTTATAATGGATAAGGATTTAGAGTTTATTAAAGCTTCATATAGTTTTAAACTGCTTAGGTATTACTGATTTTTCCCATTACACCTTATTTCGAGGGTAGCTAGTATAGATTATAAAGTATTAAAGCAATAAAACAGAGCAGGGAGAAAACCTTAACTCATGGAGATCTAGTTAAAATTCAAATTTTTAAAATATTTAGAGAGAATATTCAATAGTCTAGAAAGTAGGCCACCTGATTGACAGTGTTGTACTTTCTTGTTTCTTTTTTTTTTTTTGTACTTTCTTGTTTCTATGGGTGTTTGCTTTCCTGCCTTTAGCTTGTTTGTTTTCCTGCTTTAGCTTGTTTTCTTGGCAGTGTGCTTTTTCGGTCTTTTTTCCCTGTTCGTTTGCTTGTTGGTTTGATGGTTGGCGCGTTGCTGTTATTGGTATAGTTGGTCTTACAGGGTTTTGATGTTGTCATCTTATGGATGCCAAAGTAAACCTGACTCATGCATTCCCTGTGGACATGCAGATAGATTCTGGGCGCCTACTTAACTCTCTCCCCAGTCTAAGAACAGTTAGTTCTGATAACATGGCCCTGCTCCATACTCACCTTCATGAAATAAGATAAGGGTGCTACAGCAAAGTGATGAAGAAAGCAGATGATGCCCAGCTATCAATCAGAATAGTGTCTGGGGTCTAAAGACCTGTATTCAAACAAGCAGCCATCTAAGCAAGTAGTCAACTAAGTCCACATAAAAGAAACACACCAGCTGTGTGATCCAAAGATGACAAAACAAAGTATCAGAGCTAAAATTATGAACATCCGATTGTTAGAAAGCTATAGAGGACAGGGGGAGCCCAAAACCTGTCTGTAGTGTAACTAGTTAGATTAAGCCACTGGCAGGACACCCCACCCCCACCCCCAACCTCGGGCAAGGGTCTCAGACAGACAGCCTGACTATCATTGTAATCTTGATTCTGCTGGATTGAACTTGATACTTGGTCAGCCAACCTCCCTATTGACCCAACCTGAATTTGTTCTAGGTACAAGTATCACTTGAATGTTCCATGACCAAAAATTTCTCCCCTGGCTTTTTAAATATTGAGGATGGTCTTTTCTTTCTTACTCATTATTTGTACTTTTATCTTTATATTATTATCATTTTATCTTACCACATTATTTTGATTTTGGCTTTTTGGTTTTTTGCTTAATCATTTTATTGGAGACTCGTACAACGCTTATCACAATCCATACATCCATCCATTGTGTCAAGCACATTTGTACATTTGTTGCCCTCATCATTCTCAAAACATTTGCTTTC